TATGCAGGTCCATACTGACACTGTGAGTCAGCTCGAGTGCGTAACGTGTGAGTTGCGCGAGGACCTCGAGCACAAGAGAGGCACGCGTCCGGATCTGTAAGGCATTCTAAACAACCTCTCCTCGAACGTAAAAGGGATCAATCTGATTTTTCTCTTGCCCAGCTTGCAAATGAGCGGACACAGCACTTTCTTCGCGACAAGCTAGAAGAAGCTTGTCAAGATATATGTGGGCTTCGCATGTAGATATCTGAGCGGTAGGCACGGGCTGACAGTTATGACCATAAGCTTCAGAGTCTCATATAGATGATCATGCGCGAAGATTTCATTACTGGAAAAAGTACTGAAGTGATAACACGGACTAAGCTGGCCGACTTAAAGCGTATCATGTGTGCGCAGCTTTTGTGGCAGTTTAATCGTGTATGCGTTGCCCAAGCGGCGCACATGAAATGGATCGATAAATTAGGTAGTAGCTGGTTACTACCCACGTTAGTCACTACGTCTCGAGGTAAGTTAACCGTAGATAGTAGGACTAGGTCACCTTCATTGATTAAGAAAACATGTGCTCTTCCATTCTTGTCAGCGTTTTTGTTTTGACGGTCCACTATTTCTGCGATGGAGTCTTGCACAAAACGGACCACCGTTGCGCCAGCCAGTATGAGATTATCTGCTGACCTAATCTGTTTGGCTAAAGTGCGCTTGGAACGCATTACGGCAAGATCAATGACCCTGTTAGTAAGAGCATCCTCGCTATCACTTTCCTCTTCTTCACTGAAGTAGATATGATCGACACCGGCATCATACGTAGTGACCTCATGGTCAGTACGTGAGAGTGGGAGCCTATTTGGCGGTCGCTCAAATGAGTCTCCCCCCCTCAAACTATAGTCACACTCTAGGAAGGTGGATTGTCGTATGTGGCGCAAGCTATTCACGAAGAACGATGTATTTGTCGTCGGAGAATGCACCGAGTTGTTGATAGCGAATTCTACTAAAGGCAATATTTCGTTTCAATTCGTAAAGAAGGGACGAAACCCCAGAGAATTTCCTCAAGAAAGTGGTTCGCACGATCTGTATGACCATATGTTTTAGGATGGTCAGAGATCGACGTATTGAGGCGCGTTCCGAGTGTATTGAACACGATTACCAAAATCTAGCAGTTTACCACGGGTCTCGATCAGAGATGAGCTCATGGGGCAACTTGTAAAGATGAAAGATCATGTCAATAAAATCGCGAGAACATGCCGATGCGTTGATCTATTCGGGAACAGCGACCAGGTGTACCATTTTGCTAAATTGGTCAATGGTCACAGTAGCACTCGTATGCTTGTGAAGATGTGCGCGGAATACAAATACAAAGTCCATTAAGATCGATTTCCAGCACTCTGCCGGAATGGGCAAGAGTTGCAACGGTGAGCGAAGCGAAGGAACAGACTTCACTTGTTAACATACTTCGCATGCGCGGACGTACTTACGCACGAACTGATACTGGCGGGCCAAAAAATTTCGCGACTGCCTGTGCGATATGTCTTCTCTCTACCACGATGTCCACCAGAAGGTGTATCGTGGTACTCAGACATTATGCGCAACCGTAGATCACTATGTTTCGTTACGACAACACAAGGTGTGTTGCCGACAACGGCTGAATACTTTAGTAAACCACTGTGGACTGTATATCTACCCGTAGATTATCGATACACTGGAGGCAACTCTATAAGGATTTGCGGGGATAGATGCTAGAGATGATCTATTGGACGCACCATCACCGTATCATATGCTTTTTTAATGTCTTCGAACTAATTGACGACGTGACACTTGACGTCAACACTACCACAGTTGTCGGGTCAGTGTCGGATTGCGCAGCTGGTTTGAAATCGGGCCGGCGCGAAAGAGAAACAGCGACAACATTCAGTCGTCCTGGCTTATATTCCACAAAGAAGTATACTCAGCCGAAAATGACATCTACCTCAGTATTCGTTGCAAGAGGTTTGGACTATTTACGGCCGCGCGTAACGACGCATGGTCGGTAATAATGATGAAGAGTTTATCTCCTAGAAGGTAGACCCTGATCTTTCAAATATAGTAATTCATGGCAATGACTCCCTTGTCATGGAACGGGTATTTACGTTCGGCCTGTTGCAGAGGACTTGACTAATAGCGGACGACACGCACAGCATCGTCCGCGTCGTACTACACCAGTGCAATCCGATGGCAAACTCACTTGATTTTTTTGCAAATACTCCTCTAGACCAAGTAACTTAAGAAGTTCTTTTACGTCGGTAGGCACCGGCCATTCAGTGATCGCCTTGATAAATTTTGTATCAGAGCGGACGCTGTGTCTGCCTACGATACATCCAAAGTGGCATTTCGCTAGCAGCAAATTCACAAATCTTGAGGTTGATATACAGCAACTTCTCACGCATAAGTGTAATATTTTTGGCCGTGGCTTTGATGGACTTCTACATCCATTTGTCCATCGATATCGCGGCTATGGACGAGCACATCATCAAAATAGCTAGGTGCAAATTCTCGCATATATCGTAACAGATTCGTAGCGCATCCGTTAAACGTAGCAGTGACATTACTTAATCCCTTTGGCCTAACTAGCCACTCCCAGACCCTAACGCTTGGGATGCTAACCGCTGTGGACGGGATGTACTATTCACGCATAAAGAGCTGATAGAACTCGTCCATCAGATGTATCGATGAAATGATGGTGTTCTTTGCCATTCAATCTATGATACAATCGTTCTTTGGTATCAAATATTGAACTGGTATAGTTGCTTTGTTCAAATTGTTAAAAGCATGTAATATCCACCATTCTCCTGTGGCCTTTCGGACACAGAAGTTCGGAGAGCTATGTGGAAAAGTAGATTTCTTAATGAGGCCCGCTGCCAAGCAATCAGCAAAAAATTGGTCAATCGCTAGTACCTGTTCACGAGGTAGTGGCTAACGCTCCGTGACACAGTTTTTTTGAACCTGGTTTTAGGTCTATCTCGTGATGGTAACCCTTATTCTTGGATAACTCGCACAACACTTTCCTTAGAACCACATCTCTAGGCTCCATCAATTCATCGTAGAGAGAATTTGTCTTGAGCGATTCCTACAATTGAGATTCATATGGCTCAATCCGAGGTTTCTCATCAAGTACAACCTCGTCCTATGAGCTGCTGAAAAACTTTCGTTTTCAGCGAACATTATTGCTGACATTATACTGATTACGTACTTATCATCGGCGACTAGTACGCTAATCTTTCTTGACTTTGCCACTACGCAGATCACACATGAACTTCTTTTGCTTGAGCGTGGGCAGTTGAGTGATTTTCGAAGTTGTCTTCGGAGGCGCGATCAGCTCAAGTTGGTAAGTACTATGCTTTATCCATCATTGACCAGGACATTTATCGTCTCCGTTGTCTTCTGAAAACTCATTCCCACAGTTGGGTGAGGACTTATTCTCTCAAATCCTCTGGCGGTGGTTGTGCTACTGTGGCCAAGTCTTCTACATGCGATTCTCCGAATGCACCAAGATCCTCGTATTGCCATTCATTGTCAACTAATTCGTTTTAATATGGTTGTTGGCCCCTTGGAGGGCACTCATGCCCCAATCTACTCGACTAATTCGGGTGGTGGACCTTCGGCGCAACCTGCGTTCCAATGCAGCTGCCGAAATCTGGCTCCATGATGTAGTGAGTAGCCACGCCATGGCCATGTGCAGTCATGCTGACAACGGAATTACAAGTGAGGCTATCGCAATCACTCGTAGTACACCCACATGGAAGTGGTCGCTCCATGGCTTTCATCAGATGGCCATCTGGTAACAAGCGCCAGGCATATCGACTTTTCGTCGATGCCAGACGACTTGTGGCTCGTACCATCTGAGCCACGGAAGTTCAAGGATAACACCGAATTTGCCATACAAGTCCAGTATGATAAAGGCATCATCATATTGTACTTCCTTCCGTGTATAGAAAATTCCTACAACACGCTTCATCACTGTTACGGATGCGCCTTTCGCAGTGCATACCTTCATCCCCGCTGGAGGGATCTTACGCTCGACATACTTTAGCTCGCTGCTGTCATAAGATTGGCGTTGTGCGAAGTTGTTCGACTTGCCACAGTCAACTAGAGCTCGGAGCGATATGTTTTATTTCACTTCGAGCTTCAAGGTAATGAGAGTAACCTCATTACCTGAAGCAGCAGCACAAAATGATTGAGTTCTGGAAGCAATTCTTGTCAAGATGCCTGCATTCTCACTTGTCATTTCTGAATCAGTGGGGTGCTCCGCACCTACTGACCCTGACCGTTTTTGGGCTGTCCATTACGTTGTTGCAGTTTTGCAACAACGTCAGACCCATGCCTTCGATCCCTCTTGGCCGCTTGGCAATTAATGTTTTCTGCGGTACGTGGTGTCGCGTATGGTAAACTTCATTCGTATGCACAAAGCCCTGTATTCTGATATCTAATGCATGTTTACAACTTCTTGTATTGTTTTGGCACGATAGCTCTCGCTCCTTGTGTAAGAGAGGTCCATTGGTTCTGGGCCGCCCGCCTATACTCGTCGCGAAGGACGAAAAAGTTCTAACTCATCATTAGCTCACCTCACACTGAAGTCCTCTTGTATCACAGTTGTAATCGCTTCCTCAAGCCATTTTAACTCGATGCAGAACATATGATTTTTCGCGGGGCATCCATTCGACCCTTTAAGAAGATCTTGATCAGCACAAAATCATTTATAGGGTTCGCTACAATGCAACTTGCAAGGTAACGAACTTGCTGGGCGTAGGCGTGAACGTCACGCTGGCCTTGTTTGTGTTGGAAACATGACATTCTGGCGATTATCTCCAGCAGTTTTGCTGGGAGATATGTGCAGAACGTGTACGGAATAGATGACTGGAGGAGAGCGAAATCTAGCAAGGCAGGAGAGAGCGAGCAAGTGAAAATTAATATATGCATTTTATCGACCTCGTACTGCGTCAACGAACGTTGTGCTTCAGGTTATGAGCCTGATGGTCGGAGCCACAGACACAACTACAAATACGCTAGGTGGCGTCGCGCTGGTCCTACCGATGGGTCAAACGCCCGCAGTTGTCGATGTCTTGCCCGCCCGCAAAAGTAGCGAGGCGACTGACGATAAGATCCTCTCAGCCCTCGTCGGCTTGACGGAGCGCCTGGTGAAGCTTGAGTCGTCGCAGCGCGTCCGCGACAAAGACGAATAGATGCTTGACGCTGTTGAAAATGGCATTTTCGCTTCCGCCCTTGGCGCAAACGTGCGCGGTCGACCGATGACCATCGATGCGCTTGAATCGCCGGAGCAGAACCCAGCAGCTTATTTAGCACGAGTGTCAGCGCCGGACGATGGCGTGGCGATGTTTGCGATCATGGTACCACCGTGCGGACAAGCGCTACCCTAGAACAGAATACTTACACAAGTAGCAGCACCAGCAGGATCCCAGCAGCAAGCGAGAAGGATGGGGTAGATCTCGACAACTACTGCAAGCTAGCGAAAGTTGTTGATCCGAAAATTCGACGGGACCGAGCTCTACCGAGGGCTAAGTAGTGCTTTTTTCGACTAGGAACGTACGTTCTTGAGCGCGATCAAGCTCGCCCAGTCCTCTTGGGGCTTACTCTAGTCGAAAGACGTAAAGGAAGACCTGCTCGGCCACTTCTTGTCGGATACAGCGGAACGCTACTACCACAAGCAAGTGGACACGTGGTGGACGCAACAACTGACGCTCGACTACGTCATGTGTAAGCTGCTGGCGACTTTGAAGACGACGATTGCGTCTATCTAAGCGATGAAACTCTTTATGACGAAGAAATAGGCAAATAGATCTTGGTCGGAGCGTTTCCTCTATATGTTAGCCGTGAGCGACGCGCGCGGAAACGAGGACTCGCTCGTCCTGGACACAATGGCCCATCACGCGTCGCCCGAGCTTAGAAGTGCGATGAGGTCCAAGTACGACCCCACGCGATCCGACTTGCGATGGCGCAGTTCTCGTAGTTGTCGCAGCGCACTTTGACGCAGGATCGAAGAAGCAAACCGGCTTTGTTGCGGAAAGGTCGACAAGTGCAGCGAAACTGCCGCACTAAGGACGCTGAGGTGGAAGAGGAGCAGGGTTAAAGCAGTTCGAAGGGCGGGATGCTGCTCGCGCTGACGGAGATGCCTAACAAAGGCGCAGGAAGCAGCAGATCGAAGCCCTTGTCAACAAAGCAGTTTGACAACTGCAGATGGAGCAGCAGATCGCAGTACACGCCGAGCAAAAGACCGAGTGCTCGAGGAAGTGGCGCCGCGGCAAGAAGACGAGCGAGTTCGTGTTCTCGATCGGAGACTCCGACAAGAGCGATCGAAGAGGCTGGACACTCGACAGTGGTGCTATCCGCCACCTTATGAGTGACGCGCAACAGCTGGTCAAGTCGAGAGCGACCAACGACGAGATTGCCATGGCGGACGGCGTCTTGCTCTATGTGACGAGATGCGGCAGCGTACGACCGAAAGTCATCGCGAACGGCGCAGTAGCGACCATGACGCTCACAGACGTCTACCTGGCGCCAAGCCTGGCAAAGAATATCTTACTTACGGGAAACTAGAGTGTAAAGGATTCGCGCTTGTGTGTATTGAAGACAAGCGCTCGCTCGCTCGGCGTAGTGACGGTGCTGTCGCTTTTGATGTGGCAATGGAAAGCAAAGTGTTGAACGTGCAGACCACGACAACAAAGCGATAGGGGGGAGCTAGCGCGCCATAATGGCGGTAGTCGAGTCAGGCGCAGACGGGGACGTCTCATCCAACGTCCATGAGGGCACACTGCTTCATTTCCACCAGCGGTTCGCGCTCTTGGCGTTTGACACCATCGAGCGGATGGCGCGCGACCCACTTTGCGACATACGTCTCACGAGCCAACGGCACATGACGTGTGTGTCTTGAATGGAGGGCAAGCAGACGTGCAACGCGCAGCAAGACAGCGGCGAGAACGCGCCGATTGACCGCATTGGCGGCGTGATCTGTTCGGACCTAAAGGGTCCGGTGACGCCTTAATACCGTCTCAAGAATCGATATTTGATCAATTTCGTTGATCACAAGAGCATTTACTGAAGTAGTTTCCTTGCGCAGACGGAGGACGCAGCAGCAAAGCATTTTGAGGCGTTCCTGACGCACTTCAAGAAGCAATTCGACTGTAGGATTCACGTATATTGCACCGACGGCGACGGCGAGTACGCCAACGTGGACCTTTTCTTCAAGCGCACCGGAGTGGAGCGGCAGATCTCGGAGGCGAGGAACCGAGCGTTTGTGTTCGCCTGCGCGCTGTTACTCAACTTCTGGGGCGACGCTGTGTTGTACGCGGTCTACGCGCTAAACAGGAGCCCGACGCGCTTAAACCCAAAGCGTGTGTCGCCGCTCAAAATGCTGACGGGTACCGCGCTTGACTTGCGGCAGATCATCGTCTACGGGTCGTGATGCTACGTCTACCGCGACCCGCGCAAGCACTCGCTGGCGCAGCGATCGCAGATCGGGACGATCATCGGGTCCAGCGACGAGATCTAAGGGTACACGGTCCGGTTGAGGAAAGCAGGTAAGGCAATCGTCACCTAGCACGTAAAAGAAATCGACACGCTGAGTGAGACTCAGAACGCGCAGCTGCAACGCGCAATAAGCAGCGAAGACCGAGCTGACGCTGTGGAGGAGACCACGCCAGAGATCGACGCACGAGCGGTGTGAGATACGGAATGAACAAGGCAAACAAGCAGTGGGCTCGACAGACACACGGCACGCACGGCGCGACAAAGCGCGCGCAAGGAGAAGTCAGTAAGAAGGAGCCAGAAGCTGGTTAGGACGTCGTTATTGTGGCTTATGAACGTGACTTGCAGGAGTACGCCGTCTTCATGCGACGCAATAAGCGATACGGCTGGGTGAAAGCGATGGAAGAAATGGTTGCAGCTCTGCAGGACAACGACGTCGGAACAATCACGCGACGAGCGCCCGGTTGTAAAGCTCTGCATACTAAATGGGTGTACAAAACGAAGGCAACTGCCGAAGGCGAGCTGGAGCGGCTCAAGGCGCGACTCATGGCCTGTAAACATGAGCAAGTTCCACGGAGTCGACTACGGGCTCACGTTCGCAGCAGTGATGGACCTCTCGACGGTGAAGGTCATCCTCGCGCTCACTGCCACGTGGGGGGGGGTGCCTTCCAAGCATGGCGACATCTCCAACGCAAACGTAAAGGCGAACAAAGAGGCGCACTTGCGAACTTACCTTCAGCTGCCACTCGACATGAGTGTGTCTAGTGCGACGATATGAAAACACGGCGCGGCAAGCATGAAAGAGCTCGTCGTTGAGCTCCGGAAGAGCCTGTGCGGGATCAAAATATCCAAGCGGCTGTGGATCCAGCTGCTCTACACCAAGCTATCGGACGCGGGTTGTCGCCGCAGCGAAAGTGACATGTGCCTCTATTAAAATCACGACGGGACGGATCTCGCCGTAGTCGGAGTGTACGTCGATGACCTCCTCCCAATCGGGACGGTTGCCATTGTGGTCGATCTCTTGTATCGGCAGCCTCTTATCCCTGTCAATTAAGGACTTGGGCCGAGTCAGAAAGTTCCTCGTAGAGCTAAGCAACGACGGAGGGCATCGCCTGGGCATGGAGGAGGCGATTGGCAACCTCCTGCGGAGCAATGGGCTTACAGACGCGAATGCGACGCTAACGCCGATTGGAGCCGATAGCAACGACGAGCAGCCAAGCTAAGTGGAGATCCTTGGATCAGCGAATGGGACCGACAGTGCACGAATTTAAATTGCTGGTCTCCGGGACCGACAGTGCACGAATTTAAATCGCTGGTCGGTTCGTTTCTTTGGGTCGCGCGCTGTACGCGCTCGGACATCGCCTTCGTGCTCCATAAGGCGATGCGGCATGCGCACGCTCCGCGCGTGCTTGACTGGTGTTTGGCGAAGCGCATCACGCGCTATCGCAAGGGGACTGCGACGCTGAAGATCACGATGAAGCCTTCCCGAGATGAAAACGCAGCGCCGCGACCTGATGCGTTCAGTGACGCCGACTTTTCGGGTGACAGGGCATACGTAAAGTCGATGATGGGCGGCGTGCTCCTACTGAATGGTAAGCCAGTAAGCCGGGGCGCGCGCAAGCCGGGGGGCGTGTCGCTGTCGAAATTGGAGGCAGAGTTTGTGGCTGCCAGCGCGATCGCGCGGGAAATGCTAGGGGTGCGAGAGATGCTAATGGAGATCGGGCTTGCTCCAGCTCTGCCTATGCAGCTACAAGTCGTTAACTAAGCGGAGATGAGCCAGATAGCTGGCGAAGCGTCGTCGTTGAAGGCAAAGCACATGAGCGTCCGCCACAAGTTCTTATGAGATTTCGCTCGACGTGTAATTACTTAGCGCGCTACGTCAGTTCCGAGAAGATGCTCGCAGGCCTGCTGACGAAGCAGCTGGGAATAAGCTTAGGACGTTTCGCGAGCTTATGAAGATCGAGTAGAAGATGGATGACGTTTTAAGACGATGAAGAGAGGTGAGAGAACGGAGGCGCACTCGAGGAGGAGTGTGGTAAAGATGACATTCTGGCGATCGATTAGCTCCAGCTGTTTTGCTGGGAGATAGGTGCAGAATGTGTACGGAATAGATAACTGGAGGAGAGCGGTAGATAGCAAGGCAGGCGAGAGTGAGCAAGTGAAAGGCAATGTACAGAATCTTATAAATCGCCTACTGCGTCAACGAACATTTTGCTACAGCTTAACCTTCAGGGGCTCTGAAAGAGTCCTGAACTCGGCTCTTGGCAGCTCAGATGTTTGGCTGAGCAGAGTCTTAAAGACTGCCAGCAATCCAAACGTGTTTGGATCGTGTAGCTGAAGGTTCAGGGACAAAGTTCTGGCACGAACTGACAGGTCTAATTTGACGAATGCGACTTGCATTTCCTCATCGTCGATGAGTCAAGCCTTTTAGGCTTTGTCCACTTAGAGGAACCATCTCAACAGGAAGTCTTCTTCGATTCCCCGATACTTGGAGACTTCCAACTTTAAAATTTCGCGTCGATGCTCACGCACCGACGCTGCAGTAGCAGACTGAGACTGTCTCAGGAGTTCACTCGGCTGGTGACCTTACTGATGCAGTCGATTCACTTCAGCCGGCGACGCATCAAGTTCTCGCTGTAAGAACTTGGCAATTTTGGAATATTGTTGGTCTTTATCCCTTGAGGATAGCAAAGACCAGACAGCTTCTTCGCCAACGGTCGAACTCATTTGTTTGACTGCACTCCATTCGACATCACTCAAACAGGATTAGCTTCACGGGTGCCGTGAAAGGTTTTGTCGCCTTCGTCGTCCAGCACGTTCATGGTCGTTGAACGGAATACGAAGTGCTACCAGGTATAACGGGGCATACCTTATTCAGCTTACTGAATAAACCTAGCATTTCTGACAGTGCAAGGGTGTGTGCGTTCGACTACCTCACGTACAAGTACGTGCAGAGAACAGTTGCTAAACGGAGTAAGAGTACTCAGTAAAGGTTAAAGTAGAACTGTAGTCAGTGTAGTTAATCTCTAGTGAATACATCTCTATTTAGTCTTCATTTAGCTACATCCGAATACAAACATGTAGTGTAAATATCTTCTCATAACTCATTGCGTTGTTCTGTTGTGGCTAAACTTTATGTGTTGATATCTTGGTCACATATCAACCAATGAGTAGTGACTTACATCTGCGAAGCAACATTATCTGTTACCATAATATTGTGAGAATATTGTGTTTGTCCTAGCATAATATTCATACTTAAAATTTACTGTGTACATGTTATGTAACGGAGACACCCCGTTACAACGAGCCCGCGACTCATGCGATAAAGCACGAGCACAAACCATAGGCATTCAGTGGACCGAGTTCGTGATTGTGGCGACATTCACTCAGGATGAGGAACCGCCTCAAACCAAAACGAGGGGACGAACTGACGCTCATTGAGGGCAACTTGCCGACCTTTTCGGACTACATGCACGACGGTGACGATATCTTGGCAGTAAAATTTTCCAGTAGGCGCCCGCTCATCGAGCCTAAAATAAAACCATGGGTTTATTTGCCCTGAATAGGGATTTAATATATTAACCTAATACTGATTGCCTCGCCAAAACTATTCGGGTTTTTTCAGCCCTGGTTTCTGCGCTTTTTATAGAAAAATGTTTGAGTCACTCTCTTTTTGGTAAGATTTACTTTTTTTGTCGTTCAGTAAGCATGTGTAATCGTATTTTTTGATTTGGCAATATTACTACTCTCTTTTTGGTAAGATTTCCTTTTTTGTCAATCAGTAAGCATGTGTAACCGTAGTTTTTGATTTGGTAATATTAAGTGTGATGGACATGTGCTTTCTCTTACAATACCGCAAGCTCCATGATTCCACGACTAAATAGCATCGCCAGGTATCTAAGGACTTGGTATAAGGCGATACCAATGATGTAGAAGTCAAATTTGTCACGTGTAGCTTCGAATGTCATTGAATATGCAAGAATTTGAGCACCAAGAAATTAGAAAGACATAAACGAAATAGGAGAATTATATTAAGAACAGGACAAAGACATTTGTTTGATGGAGATGACCACGTTAAACCGTTATAATTTAAAATTCACACAACTACCAGCATTAACATGTACTCAACAAGAATACGGGTATGAGACGAGGATCAATTCGACATTACGCGAACTGAACTTTGTCATTGATCTGCTTATCCATATTCTTCAGTTGCTGGTCGAACAAGCCATTAAAAATTATTACTTTGTACAGATAAATTTCGCTCGCATCCCATCATTAATTCTCTTTCAGTCATTGTGCCAACGTCTATCCTGTGCAGAGGGAGAGTGTGCAGAGGGAGAGTTGTCGAAACGATTATTCGCGCGCAGCAGGTTTGAGTGCCTCGTATTTCGACGTTCTGTGACACGTTTCATGGTAGGCAGCAGCGATGTTATATTGATATTGTCTTGTCGGAGGTATCTCAATACATCAATGAGGGAGATGAGCATGTGGAACGGAACATCGTGCTATGTGCGATCTTCAGGTGGTAGACTACCGCACCGTAGCTTCTGGTTTCAGCGAGATGGCACCGTGTTTAATAGTATACTAAAATAGAAAAGTTTCACAAATAAACTTATCCAATCACAATTGGTTGTTTCGAATGTTTGCTTAATGAAAAAAAGAGAGTGAATCTAACCAAAAAGGGAGTGAATCTAACAGTTCCCTTTTATTTCAAACTAATCAAAGAGAGCACTTGACTTGTTACAGGGATTGCAGTGAAAGCGTTGACGTTCGCTTCCTTCTCACTTTTGACTAGCTCTATTACAAACAAGTCATTTTTTGCGGCAGACAACTGCTGCGTCGGCAAGCGCGAAGAGGTCATGGAAGATGGACATTACCATATGCTTGTATTGAGTATGTTCTTGTTCACGCGAGCTCCCTGTTGCACGTAACCTATTGGTAGTCAGTTGTTTAAAAGAGCTTTTCGGATGTCGGTAATGGAAAACGAATGTACATACATGTCACAGCACCCGGCGTCGTGTCGTTTTGCGATAAACCGCAACAATCACTTACAAACGCGAGGACGCACTCGGGTCAAAGACAAACTTGCCGCCGTCGATAATCACGACGCCGCGTTCTTTGACTACGGCTTGGAACAGCACCTCACTGCTGCTCTCCTGCCACATTCGGGTCTGAATAGTCTCGCCCGGAAAGCACAGGCTTGAGAAGCGCACACGAATGGACTTGAAACGCGCCGCGTCACCCTGGCAGAATTGCTTGTACAATGCACGGCTAGCCACGCCCATGGAGCACAGACCATGCAGGATGGGCTGCTTAAAGCCTACACTCGCAGCGACCTCAGGATCAATGTGCAGCGCGTTGTAGTCACTGCAGCAACGGAAAGTCCCACATTACACAACAGATCGTCAACAAGCTGCCATCATCATCACTACATCAAGAGCAATCGTCATCTCTCTCTCTCGTCGTTCTACTTCATCACTATAGCAGCATCCTTTCTTGCGTCCGACAGATATAAAATAAAGAAAACATTTGCCTGACCCACTCACCCTGATAGACGATGAATCTGCGCCTGATACGGCGACGTCGTGAACTCGTCGCAAAAGTCTGGCTCGCGCGTAGGAACCTGCACGCGTGCTAGGTGCTTGCGTCCTTTGCCTTCAAAGCCCGTAAGACCACGAATAAAAGTGCCGCTAATGAGCTTCGCCACTGGTCCATGAGCGTCTTCAAACAGCGTCTGCGTCTCAACGAGCGCTCCTTTGCCCTTATCGAGGCACGAAAGGATCTTGCTCCGACCTGTCAGCGTGGCACCCATAGGATCCAGAGGCCGTAGGATCTCCACCGACTGCTCAGCATGCAGCATCATGACTGGATTGAAGTTCTGTATCGTTTCTTCAAGTAGAGCACCAACTGTCGGAGGCGGGAACGGCACAACGTCTTGCGACTCGCCCTTGAATAGAAAACACACGGGATAGAGCGGGAAAGCGGCAAAGTGCTCGTGCAACTCGTGCGTAAACTGCAACGACGACTCGCCTATACCCACGGCATAAATCAGCAAGTCACGCTGGTTATAGCGCACTGTATACGTCGTCTCGGGACTGCTCAGGAGCTCGGAAACGTCCACAGTCATGCTGCTGGTTGTCATTGTCATCAGCGCTTCCTCCAAAGCGTACTGATTTAAATTACAAGTAGTTGTCCAGCCGAAAAATTTCATTGGATGAGGTGGCTCACATAATCGGTTGAGGCGTATACACGTGTATAACAAATGATGCAGCTCGCCTCGGTCGTAGCGAACACCTTCTTTCATTGGTCAATATTTCCATCTTTTTGTCGCTCAGTAGAGCCGCTCGATCTCCAGTCAACCCACGAGGAGCTCTCGAGTCAAAAACGAGTCCCGTCGTCCCCCTTGTCCGTGCCGCTAGTTGCTTATCCGCCATGGGGACTGCACCAAGCAAACCGTCAATGAAAAGATCAGACAGCAAACGCTACCCTGTGCTGGCTACCAGTGCAGCTCCTGTACGTATTTATTTTCCAGTCTCTCCCCGAATCTGATCGGTCGAGTCTGACGTAACATTTTCCGTCCATATTTTTTTGTCGCTATGTCTTACTTACATAAACTATTGGCAGGAGGAAGATATGCCTGTATTGATGCAGCAGGTGGTGGATATCGAGAAGGAGCGCTCCAAGCTGCCGAACCCTGGCCTTTACGAGAATGCGCCCAATGAGCTCAAACCACCCGTGAGTCCGGACGCGTTTGACGGCTTCCGCTTTGACTTTACGCGTATACTGGGTGCTCGATGCTCGACATCGCACTCCTTTCTGTTAGGTACACCCATGATCCCTGGTGGGCTGTATCAGTTTGGCGCTAACGTGGTCATGGGCGACCCCATGGATCCCTCAACGTTCCTCATGAGTAAGATCACACCGGACGGCTATCTTGATGCCCGATGGAATCAGAAGATCTCGGAGAAGTGGAAAATGCGTGTCAAGTCACAGCTGAAGAATGAAGAGCAGGGTTCTCAAGCGCTTGCCGACTTTGACTACGTTGGCGACGATTTTACGTGGAACATGAAGGTCTCGAACGGTCCGCTACTTGGCGTCAGTTACCTGCAAAGTGTCACGCAGAAGCTTGCACTTGGTGGCGAGGCCTACTACCACGGTAAGCACCAGAAGGTGATCTCGGCGTACGCTGGTAAGTGGAATGCGCGCGACTGGGTCGGTATGGCCACGTACGGAGCCATGGGCACGCTACAGCTTGCCTACTTACGCAAGGTTGGTCACCGCCTTCGCTACGGCTCGGAGTTTGTGTACAACCACGCTTCGGGTGAGGCGCAGACGACCTGCGGCGTGGAGATGGACCTGGGCCAGACACGGTTTGTGTCTAGCGTGGACTCGACTCTGCGCGTAGCAACGAGCATCGAGTCGCGTGTGCTGCCAAATTTCGTGCTCTCGCTCTCGGCCGAGGGCTTTCCACTCAAAGATGACTTCAAGTTTGGTTACGGTGCACAGATTTCGTTTTAGATATGAATCTATAGCGCTGCTCGAGTTGGAAAAGAGCAACCTCCCATCATGCCCTGCATAGTGCAGAGCAGGCAGTAGGGGTAAATCGAAATGTTGCCTGGGTCAGCTCAGCCCGCGGAGCCTGATAACTCAAAGAAGTCCTGCTACACGACTGTGATCACTGATGTTGGCCATGCGTTGACCTGTTCCGATCATATTTGCATATTATGCAAGGTGGACAAACGTTTTGATCTACATGTGTGACTCTTTACTACTTCATATGTGACAATTGCGTTCACACAATGCATGTAGCTCTCTCCTTTCAGGGAGACACCAATGTGTTGCTCTATTTCTGAAGTCGTAAGACGAGCTGCAACAGGTGGCGAAAGCATTCTAAGAAGTTTACACTATGCTCGTGTCTACCATTAGCAAGCTACTGTACCTCACAGGAAAACATTTGATGGAAGACACTTCCATTCCAGAGCTACAGAGCTTACCGGAATCCACGATCTAGCAGACAGCTCGATTTGACACATGAACACTAGCAACAGGTCGAAACAACTTCGCCATTACTCTTTATGCGTAATCCACAAATGGTAGGCATGAAAATCATGTGTCAATGCGTTGTCGTCCAGCATTGCTAGAAAGGCCAGTCACCAGCAGGCTTGCTATTCGAGCTGCGGTATCCACCAGCGGAGCCGGACGAGTACGTGTTACTGTTTCCTTGCGAGAACCCGCCATTAGTCCCACCTTCAACGTTCCTGATAACGTACAGCGTTTGAAAAGCAAAACAGAGCACATCAGTATTCTGATCGGCGTCGAAGTCGCGAAGTAAACTGTGCCTTACAAAGGTCCTTCCAGCACCGAATGGAAGCCGAATAAGCGGGGAAGCGAGTAAGTCAGCAGCTCCTGTTGCGGCAAAAACGTCAGTTAGCATCTCAGACTTATCTACATTGTCGCGTACTACAGCTCGTTTACCCGGAAGACACGGGCTTCGCCAACGTTTAGCGTGGCAAGGGATTCACGTTCGTGGTGGACCTTAATCTGGATCACAGAATCCCCATCACTTCCTGTCATGCGCGCGATGTGCAGCGACTTGGTGTTCTTTTCATCCTCAGGCGCGTTCATATTGGGCGAGTGCGTGAGTGACAGCTCAGGGATACGCGAGTCCAGCAGCTCCAGCACCAATCCAACCTCGGATGGACTCAGTGAAAAGAACTGCAGCAATTACAGTAAAGTCAGCACCAGCAGCTCCACAAGGACAAATCCGCTACAAGTTCACCGTACAGTCTTGTTCTGGTAGTTGTAGCCAGAGGTCGTGGCTTTTGCCCACGAGAGCATGATGGCACCCTGTGTACGCATTCCAAAAACAGGATCATTGAGTCCACAGTATCGTATCTTTCCACAACTTGTCCTAGTTCTCAGCAGAGCCAACACACTGCAGCTTTGACTCACCATACGCTTAGTCTTTAGGTAAGTGCCACCGTCGGTGTACTGCGGAGCATTGGGGGACACCTGGAAGACCGCGTCGCTGCCATAGACCGAGAAATTAGGGAACACGCGCTCCGTGGCTGTAATATAGCGGCAGAAGAAGACATGAGACAGCAGTATGGAGAGAAGATAAGCAACTTGTGGTGTGCGGAGGTCACATACAGTAAAGCGCTGAGCGCAAAGGCGTGCGTCGTCCGAGACCAGCCGTCTTCCAAAGCGTCTGCATTAGCGTGATCTTTTTTGACGCAACTGTGGGAATTTGATGATCGCACTTAGCGTGGTAGTTAAGTAAAGGGTAGCCATGTCGTGCCGTCGTTTTCGTGACGTAACGAAACAACGATTCAGCTACTAGTATGGGTACGAGCAGTACTGGCGCTGAGAGTATGCTTTCAGCAACATTGTAATCAGACCGGCGGTCAAGAGCGTTTGAATGTCTTAGGAGGTCATTATATATCCTAGAACACACTTGCTTTCATATGATCGACGAAGAGCGCATCATTTGTAATTGAAATAGTGCATTCTATAGAAGGAAGGTTGGCGTGTGTGGCTTCTGGAGATCGATATCAACAAGATGTTGTATTGAAAAGACACAGCACCTATTGGGTAGACGATAGATAGATATGTGCCACCAAATGTGCACAAGCATCCGTTGGCAGCGACGGACGCGCTTCATTACGTCCGTTCAATTATTTACGCGGTAACGTTTGATCGGCAACGATTCATTTTCATCCATTTTTGGACGATGAAGCGGAAGTTCATGCATATGCACACAAGTCATGCGTAATCTGCAAACCTTCTCCGCAACTAAATTACTACATAGCATCAGGACGACTGATGTTGTGTAACGGGGTGAATCGTTACATAACAATTTATAAGAAATTGTTAATAGAATATAACTATAAGAGTTATATTCTCAGAATATTGTCATAAGGACAAATATTCTGTAGCACTTACAAGTCGTTCCTGATTGGTTGATATAGGCCATTATATCAACCAACGAAGACGCGCCACGACAGACGCACGCAATGAGTGGTGAGCAGATAACTGATTTACACATTTGTATTTAGACATAGTTAGATGAAGATAAATAGTGATTTATTGCAGACATTAATTATTATAAATACAGTTCTACTTTTTACTCTAACCAAGTACTCGCTTCTTCTTACCGTCTTCCTCTGCACGTACGAGTGTACGTGAAGTTACGAGGCACCGCCTTATTCTGTTATCAGAATAAGTAGCTTGTACTGTCACCAGTACAAGCTTCAGGGTGCCCCGTTACACCTGGTAGTACTTCGTAGTCCGTCCAAGGACCGCGTTCACATCCAACATGAATATGTCGGATGATGAAGATGACCAAAGCTTTCACGCTACGCGTGACGGCTACTCCCATTTGAGCGATGTCGAATGGGATGCGGTTGAACGAATGGGTTCGACCATGGGCATCCATGCTGTTAGCGTCATGCTAGAGGCTCTCAATAGAGATGCCCAACATGCTACTATCGCCAAGTTCATTCAAAATGAACTTGACGCTGAACGCGAGAAAGTAGCCTTGCTTCACCAACAAGGTTCTCAACAAGCAGAGTTGTTGAGAGAACAAGGTGCTCAACAGTTTGAACTGTTGAGACAGCAGCAGGCTGCTGCTGGCGGGTCGATGCACTCGCGTCGGCCCGAGACTTTGAAGATTGACATCTCAAAGTATAGGGGGTCGAAGAAGACTCCCTCTTGAGATGGTTCGTCGAATTGGATGACGCCATAAGGGCGCGTCGCATCGACGACGGGGATATGCAAGTTGCATTTGCCCAGTCAAATCTGGCAGGACGTGCCAAGACTTGGGCACTGGGGCTCAAGCTGCACGACCCATATGCGTTTGGGTCGTTGGAAGTCTTCAAGTCGCGGCTCAGACAAACGTTTGAACCGCCTAGAGCTGAGTTCAGAGCTCGAGCCGAACTCTTGAAGCTCAAGCAGGGTAAGCGTGATGTGCACGCTTACGCTCAACATATACGACATCTCACGAGTTGTATAAGTTCCAATCCGGTGGATGAACACACGTTGGTTTCGGTGTTCATGCAGGGTCTTGCGGATGGTCCCGTCAAGACTCACCTGTTCCGGCTTGAACTAGATTCACTAGAACAAGCCATTTTCACTGCGGAGCAGGAAGACTTCAGTCTGAGACAGGCTCGCGCCAGCTCGACATCATATCGTCAACCGAGACGATATGACAACGGAGGTCCAGAGCCGATGGAACTCTGTTATGTAGAGGGCGAGAAGGCTCGCTCTACAGGCTACAAGAAGTTGCAGAGATGCAACAGATGTCAAAAGACAGGACACTACGCTTACGAGTGTAGTGCCCCTCGTCCAGTGTCTCGCGACACTGGGCGTAGTGACCGTCCACCCATGAGAAAGGGGCAGGGACGAGGGTCCGCAGTTGGTGCAAAGACGCAACAACGGGATGGACCGTCAAAAAACGGACAGGATCAGTAGGTGCGGAGTACCCTACTGGTCCAGCAACGTCAAGAGAATTTGTAGGCCTTTTGATGAAGGTTGCTCACAACACACAAACGTTGTGCGTTGCTGCTCTAGGTAATGAGATCTCAATCATTACCTTGAAACTCGAAGTGACGAATAAGTTGTCCCTTCGAGCTCTAGTCGATTGTGGGGCGTCCAACAATTTTGTGCGACGCCAATCGCTAGAAGATGGTCACTTTAAGTTTGTTGAATGTGACACACCTCCTACGAGGATGACGGTACGTCTTGCGACAGGCGCATCCGTAACCGTCATGAAGCGTATAGTGAAGATTCACTATACGCTAGAAGATACCCAATATGACGATGACTTTATCGTATTGGATTTGGATGACAAATTTGATGTCATCCTTGGAATACCGTGGCTCAGAAGGTACGAACCACGGGTAAACTGGCAACATCGGACAGTAACGATGCCTGCCGCTTGTTCATCAGATGGCCATCTGATGAACGTTTTGGAGCGTCCACAAGCGTGTGGATGTACTACGAGTGAGTGCGATGGCCTCACTTGTGGTACGGTCGTTAGTACGACTGCACAAAACCTTAGTGTACCAAACGGTTACACTTCGGAGCAAAGTTCCGGCGGCTGTGCGGAAACACAGGCTGCGCCGAAGGTCCACCACTCGAATAAGTCGGGTGGACTGGGACAAAGATGTATCCCTAGAGGGGAACATCTAGAAGAGAAACAGTCGATCGCTCAGGTTAAGCGAAACGATAATCCTAGATCGACTGGAGAGTCTTTCGTAGAGGATCTCGCTGTGGTTGCGCAACCCCAGCTAGAGGAAGTAAAGGGAATAAGTCCCAAGATTACAAATACGGCGGAAATAAGTTCCCCGAAACCCGCGGGAATAAGTCCCCGGGAAGACGAAGGAATAAGTCCTTCGAAGCCTGAGGGAATAAGTCCCCAGGAAATGACAGAGACATTGAATGTCATAGTCAACGATGGATCAAGTATAGGCGCTTATACACTTGATCTGATTGCGCCTCCGAAGTTAACTTCGGAGATCACTCAGTTGCCAACGCTCGAACTTAAAAGCTTCTTGCGTGATCTGCGTAGTGGCAAAGTCAAGCAGATCTGCATACTCGTCGCTGACGACGAGTGTGTAACCGACATAAGGTCAGCAACAGTGTTCACTGAGAACGAGAGAGTTCTCAGTAGTTCATCTATGGACGAGAGTGTCCTGGATGAAAAGACACGAATTGAGCGATATGACTCCCAATCGTGGGAATCGCTCAAGACAAATCCTCTCTATGAAGATTTGGTTGAATTCAAGGATGTATTCCCTGAAACTGTTCCGTGCGAATTACCGAAGGATAAAGGTATTCGACACGAGGTCGAGCTTAAACCAGGCTCGAAGTACTGTGTCATGAAGCAGTGGCCACTGCCTCGTGAACAAGTACTTGCGATCGACAAGTTCTTTGCCGATCGTTTAGCAGCGGGCCATGTGAGGGAATCAACTTCCCCACATAGCTCTCCGACCTTCTGTGTGCGAAAAGCAACAGGAGGGTGGCGGATAGTGCACGCGTTCAACAAATTGAACGCTGCAACGGTACCGGCTCAGACGCCGATACCAAGGAAGGACGTAATCATTGATGGTATGTCAAAGAGTACCATCTTTTCGTCCATGGATTTGATGGATGGCTTCTATCAAATCCTTATGCGGGAACGGGATATACCCTATACCGCAGTTAGCACGCCTAGCGGCATGCTCTGGGAATGGCTAGTAATGCCACAAGGGCTTAGTAATGCCCCTGCCACGTTCAACAGATGTGTATCACATCTGTTGAGACCAGTACGAGAATTCGCGCCGAGTTATTTCGATGACGTATTCATCCTTAGTCGAGCTATGGATGGAAAGTCGGACGTTGAGGTTCACAGGTACCACGTCCGACAAGTTCTTACAATCATGCGAAAGCATCAATTGTATGCAAACCTCAAGAAGTGTATATTTGCATCAAGCGAAATACCACTTCTTGGGTGCATCGTTGGTAAGAACGGTGTACGTCCTGATCCCGAAAAGATCAAGGCGATCACCGACTGGCCTGTGCCGGTCGATGTCAAAGGTCTTCGAAAATTCCTTGGGCTAGCGGCGTATTTGCATAAGTATTCACGCAATTACGCCGAGATGACTGTGCACCTCTCTCGTTTGTTGAAAAAGAACGAGAGGTGGTTATGGAACGCTGAATGTCAGCGCTCCTTTGAGGGTATCAAGCAGAGCTTGATACAATTCCAAGTCCTAGCAATAGCCGATCAGGACAGGCCATTTCATGTGGTCTGTGATGCCAGCGATTTCGCAATCGGCTGTGCATTAATGCAGTATGATCTTGAAGGCGTTGAACGTGTCGTCTGCTATCAGTCGCGTCAGCTGCAACCAGCTGAGCGGAACTATCCAGTGCATGACAAGGAACTCCTTGCCATGAAGTATGCACTCGCGAAGTTCAGAGTCTATCTATTAGGAGATAGACCCTTCATTGTTTACACTGACCATGCGTCGCTACGCACGGCAGTGAACAGCCCGCACCTTTCACAACGAATGGCGCGGTGGTTGTCATTCTTTGCAGAATACAACTTTACGGTCGAGTACAAACCAGGACGACTTAATGTCGTCGCTGATGCACTCTCACGTCGTCCCGACTTTGAAACAGTCGCGAAACCCAACAGTGAGACAGTCACTGTTGCGGTTATGACGTCCTCAGTTCCATCTACAATGTTGTATGATGATGTGAGGCGGGCATACGCCCAAGATGGTGAGATAGTGAAGTTGTTGTCACATCTCTTCCAACCATCCCGAGAATCGTTGAAACGATTGTCGCCTGCGTATCGATCTGCATCAGATCGATACACTACTCGTAACGGTTTACTGTATTATACAGCCGTTCCTGGTGACACACCACGTGTTGTCATTCCAGATGATACTAATCTGCGTTTGCGGATCATGTTCGAGTATCACGATGCTCCTATAGGAGGACATCGTGGCCGAGAGAAAACATATCTCACGGTAAGTCGAGACTTTTACTGGCCCCGCCAGTATCAGTTTGTGCGAAAGTATGTTCGCGCATGCGAAGTCTGCCAACGAGTGAAGTCAAGTCCTTCACTGCGTGCACTTTTACAGCCTCTACCGGTTCCGGCTGAGTGCTGGGAATCCATCTCAATGGATTTCGTCTTCGGGTTACCCAAAGACGCACGCGGGAATACGGGTATTCTCGTATTTGTTGACAGATTCAGCAAAATGGTACACCTTGTGGCTGTACCAGAGACAATCACGGCAAGTGGCTGTGCTTGTGTCTTTATTGACACCATCTTCCGACTTCATGGGTTGCCCCGTGAACTCGTATCAGACAGAGATCCACGATTCACTGCTGATTTCTGGCGTTCCGTTGTCAAATCACTCGGAACGCGCTTGAAGATGTCGACATCTGATCATCCAGAGTCAGATGGTCAGACGGAACGTGCCAATCGTGTCCTCGAAGAGATACTTCGAGGATACGTACACTCCTTTAAGAGTTGGAGTGAGTTTTTGCCAATGGTAGAGTTTGCCATTAACAACTCGGTGCATGCGTCCACGACACATACACCGTTTTACGTGAATGGCTTGCGCCATCGCGTGTACCCACCTTACTAGAGTGTAAATCTGGTTTAAGGGAGGGAGGGACTCGCGCGAGCAAAACCCGATTTGGTTCACGCTCATCACGCTCTGACGAAGAGGTCACTGCGTTCGATGCCGATATCGATAACATCGATATCGAAGAAGATGATGCCAGTGAGAGTGCGGAAGCCCTCACTAAAGAAGATGATGCCAGTGAGAGTGCGGAAGCTCTCACTGAAGAAAAGGTTGATGTTGCTGCAGTGCGCTCACAGCGCACTGAAGCTAACGAGTCATCAGATGAGTTCATACTGGCTCGTGAAACGGTAGTCCGTTTTGTGCAAGACTCCATCGCCGAAGCGGTGGACAAGCAAAAGCAAAACGCTGACAAGAATGGAAGGGCAAACACTCTTTTATTTAGTAAAGGTGACTTAGTCCTACTGTCTACGGTTAATCTACCAAAGCATGTAGTGACTAACTTGGGTAGCAGTAAACTACTACCCAAGTACATCGGCCCATTTCGTGTATTGCATCGCCTAGGCAACGCATACACGATCGAACTGCCACGTAATATGCGAACGCATCCCACGTTTTACGTTGGTCGGCTTAAGCCGTACCATCAGTACGCTGCTTCTTCCGATGATGAACGCCCTTGCGCTCAAGCATCTCGCAGAGAGCCTTGTGCTCCCGATGGTGGGCATCAACAAGGGTCTGAAGAGCAGTTATCTCAGCCCGAGACCGATCAACAATCCCACGAGCTACCCTTAGCTCGTCACGAAGAGATGTCAGAGATCTCTCGTTCTCAAGCTGAGCAAAGGCAAACTCAGCTCGATGCTTCGAGGCAGTGTCCACCATCTGGAGACGCCTATTCCGCTCATGCTCGAGATCGTCGCGTAACCCTTGCGTTACGCGATCAAAGAAGCTCTCGGGAACACACCGATCCACATGATCGTGTGGAGAGCGTCTTTCCTCCTCCTCCACCTCCATTAGAGGACTCTCGCGGTGGCCAGCGCTATCTAGTTGAGCAGCTGTTGAACCACCGCGACGTGAACGGACGTCGGACGAGTTACCTCGTCCGGTGGCGCGGCTATCCCCCGTCCTGGGATTCTTGGGAGCCCCGCTCCCAATTGATGGTTGACGTACTGGGTCTGGTCGAGCAGTACGACGCGGCACATCCTGTGCCGCAGAAGGACCGCCGGAGAAAGTCTTCCCGGCACGGTCGTAAAGGGATTTCAGGTTATCAATCCCTTCGTACATCTCAATAGAGATACGTACGCGCCACCACGGGATAATAGGGGGGTAAGCCTCCTTAGGTGCTCGTGCAGAGTTGTTCACACAACATGGGCACGAGTCTCCCCAAGAGAGGCAGGGTAACTCACTCTCCCTTGACAGACGATGCAGCTTGTAGCGTGCACCTGTCGGGGTTCGCTTTTCAAACTCATCACGAGCTTTGATAAGTTTGTCGTTCCAAGCGTCACGACCTACATCCTCGAGATTATGGATGTAGGCTTTACACGCCTGAAGTAGTGAGGGACCATCACGTTTGTGATTCCCACTGTACCATCGATGTCTGAAGAAAGCATCGATGAAGAATTCGTGTTCAGCGCGATAGTCTTTCGCGCTGGGGTCAAGGTGATGGATCCTTGACGAATCGAACAATCGTGTTCGATAACGATCACTCGTCGTCGCCGACAAGTGATCCATGACGGATTTAGGAGGCATCCATGCCTTCTTTTCTGGAGCGAGACGCAACACATTGCGGTCCCGCTCTTCCTGCGACGTGCCGACAGAAGTACTGGCACCTCGCTGTGAAGTGGTGTCCATTGGAGAACCGACACCACTATTAGCGCCCGAGTCTCGCGACCTCGAGCGCCTTCGCTTCGGCGATGGTTCATCTGACTCATCAGATGAACCAAAGATGCTGCGACGCAAAGCATCGTCCATGCCACGCTTGGCAGGCGGCTTGGATTCAATTGCCGTCGATACGGATCCGTCATCCGTATCAGGAGAGTACGAGACACCGAGCTCGTACTCTGTGAAGACACGAGTGTCTTCATGACCAGCGCCTGCTTCACCAAGTGTCACAGGCTGAGTCGCTTCAGCAACCGATGAGACATCAGTTGCTGTTGTTTCTGCTTCGGCGTCCGCACAGAGACGTGCAGACGCGCTCTCGGCGGCCTTGCTCGCACATCGCATGGGCTTGTTAACCATTCGATGAAATGTTGGAAAGTGGACGCGGACCAACAAGTGCAAACCCTGTCCCAAATGATTTGGGACGAGTATCCATTTAGTCAATCAGTCACTAAAGTGACTGATGGTTAAGGGGGGGGTGATGTAACGGGGTGAATCGTTACATAACAATTTATAAGAAATTGTTAATAGAATATAACTATAAGAGTTATATTCTCAGAATATTGTCATAAGGACAAATATTCTGTAGCACTTACAAGTCGTTCCTGATTGGTTGATATAGGCCATTATATCAACCAACGAAGACGCGCCACGACAGACGCACGCAATGAGTGGTGAGCAGATAACTGATTTACACATTTGTATTTAGACATAGTTAGATGAAGATAAATAGTGATTTATTGCAGACATTAACTATTATAAATACAGTTCTACTTTTTACTCTAACCAAGTACTCGCTTCTTCTTACCGTCTTCCTCTGCACGTACGAGTGTACGTGAAGTTACGAGGCACCGCCTTATTCTGTTATCAGAATAAGTAGCTTGTACTGTCACCAGTACAAGCTTCAGGGTGCCCCATTACATGTTGTATGTAAGCTCGCTGCGCAGTTCCGCCCTACATTAAAAGAATTGTAAGATTTTGAAAATGGGTTACACGTGGTTGGGTACCTGGTACCGTGTGTCTTAGACACACGGATGATATCCCACTGAAAGAGATATAGAATAACGTATCGGTTCGGTTTAAAGAGGCTGACTGGTGTCAGCCACCAGATAGAAGAGATCTTAGTGCTGATGATTTACACTTTGTGTACGCTTGAACGTCTTGATGACGTTTGATTGCAATCGTGTTGAAACGGACACAAAAGTGAAACCTCAGCAGTCGGTTATATGACAGGGAAACGACACAGGCGAGACCATCGTAGTGCTTCTACGATAAGTAGCTGGATACATATGCAGGTTAGTTAAAGACTAAAACACTTTCCGATTTACTTCCTGGCTACTAGTTGCCCTCCCTCTGCAATATTACCTGTAATGGTTATGAGCCCAAACACTGTGGGAGCGAACGATGTTCTCAACAAAGATTACTACTTCACATGGGAATTTGGTGCGCGAATGAAGCTCGCCAAGAAAGGGCTGCTGGAGCACATTGACGCGACGAAGGCACCGAGAGGAGATGACGCTAATGCGGCATTTTGTAAAGTCAACGACATGAAGGCCTTTGCAAACGTTTGCACGATGGTCAGCCCAAGCCTTCAGTCCATGGTTTCGGGATGCAGCGACGTTTGCAGAAGCGTGGGGGATTTTGAAGAGCTTTTTCCTCGCAGAAGCATTCATAGTCGGGTGCAGATGCGTCGACAGCTGCACGAGTTCAAGATGCAGAAGGGAGGCAGTGTAATGGATAACTTTCTCAAGTTCGATGAGCTGTGCATGTCAATGCAAGCTATTGGTGACGAAGTTGTTCAGTTTGAGCGACTCGTGATCCTACTCGGAAGCCTATCTAAAGAATACGACCAGATAGTCAAGATCATCAAGAACATGAAGGACATGGATCTATTTCAAGCCAAGGAAATGCTTCGTCCTGATTACGAAGGCATTGCTCGGAAGGAGAAGAGCGAGATCGCGTTGAGAGCTACAAGAAGGTTCAAGATCAAGAGTTTTCAGCCAAAGGAAGCAAGGAACAAGTTCACTGGGACATGTTTTACATGCGGCAAGCATGGGCACAAGAAACAAGATTGCTGGAAGAATCCGGACAAGAAGAAGAGCTCTGAGCAAGCGTTCACTTACAGTGAACGCTTGCTCTGAAAGTTGGCTACTCGACAGTGGAGCGAGTAGTCACATGTGTCCATTTCAAGATGATATTGTGGAGATCCGACCACTAAATAAGTCAATTGGAGTTTCGATTGCGAATAGAGACACGATTGTGGCTAATGGTTTTGGGATAATTCGTGTCCTACTGAAAAATAAGAAGTTAATTCGCATTGAAGACGTGTTGTACGTTCCTGTTCTAAATCGTCATCTTCTTTTTATTCCTGCATTTTCTGCTAAAGGGTTACACGTAACCTTTCGCAATAAGACATGTGAGATCAGGAATGATCGAGAGTTGGTGACTCAAGTGACCCAAAAGGGCAAGTTGTTCGTGCTTGAATATAATACGATATAATCTGCGAGCGTGAGTAATAAAGTTAGCGGTGGAGCCAAACCTGTGAGTCCAAGTGTGTGGCATGCAAGAATAGGACATCTGCCAATGAAGGCAATGAAAAACCTCGGCAAGTGTGTTGAAGGACTTACGATGGAAGATTCGTCTGTTGTGGATGTTGATCAAGACGAAATATGCGAAGGATATGTGACCGGAAGGTTGTCAGTAAAGCCGTTCCCGAAGTCTACTTAAAGCGAAGTAAAGACCACTGCATTGCTCCCAGTTATCCATAGCGACGTATTGGAACCAATGGAGACAAAGTCGCAAGGAGGAGCAAGATTCGTAGTGACCTTTCTGGATGATTATTCAAGATATGTGGTTGCTTTCTACATTCCACACAAGTCAAATGTGGTCGACAAGTTCATCGAATACAAGTCGATGATGGAAAACCAGTTGAATACCAAGATCAAGTGTATGCGCACCGACAATGGTGTTGAGTACATCAACAAGCGGTTCACAGAGATATGTCGAAAGGCTGGTATTGTGCACCAAGCGATAGTGCCGTATTTGCCGCAGCAAAATGAATTGGCTGATCGACTTAACCGGACACTGACTAAGCGAGCAAGATCGATGCTTAATTACATGCAATTCGAGATGAAGTGGTGGGCTGAGGCTATTATTACTGCGGTATTCGTGACTAACCGAGTCGCTTGCGCTTCGAACCCGACCAAGACTCCAGTTGAAGTATTTTTTGGGACTGAGCCAGACCTTTCCAACATGAGAGCATTTGGTGCGAAAGGTGACGCCCACATTGCAAAACCAAAACGTCTAAAGTTGGACAAAAGGCATTTCGATGCATGTTTCTGGGCTACTCGCATGAAGTGAAGGGATACCGTGTCTGAAATTTTGATTCAATTAGACTGGAGCTCACGCGATCTGTGACTTTACAAGAATTACCAAAGTCCAATTTTGTGCAAGTGATTGCGAATATACCTGCTGCTACACGTGCAAATTTTGACGATGATGATGCTGAAGTTGTGCAATTACCGTCTACATCAAACCATATACAAGTGGACATGATGGTTGTATACCAGACTGGGACTGACCAAGTCGTATCACCACCTAGTGAATTTGAGTCTTTGAATCCAAGACAGATATTTCAATACAAACCTGATCCTGCTTTCGATGTCTATGATGTTTACATGGAGCCGACTGATCTGGATGCCAATAAAACTCGGGACATTGTGCCCAGGGGAAGATTGATGATTCGTAATGATTGCGCAGTGGTGCAAAAATCTCACTATTATGGACAACACGTCCCTCTTGCGCTACTATCATCGAGCTGTGAAGATCAAGCATTAGTTCCAGTCGGGATGTCCATACACCTGCTACAATGCGCAGAATTCATTCAGACAATCGCACATCCAAAAGATACCGCATTGAATATGAACAAGCGAATGCAACACTCGAAATCCCATCGACATACCAAGACGCAATGGAATCGCCGACGTCTAAGATGTGGAGCGAGGCAATCAACACCGAATTGATGGCACTAAAAAAAGACATGGACAGCAGTGGATAAATCGCCAAACACAAAGGTAATCGGAACCAAATGGGTTTTTGCCATTAAGCTTGTTGCTTTAGGGCATTGACAGAAGCTTGGTGTGGATTACTACGAGACGTATTCACCGGTCGCAAACCTGAACTCTGTTCGTGTATTATTTGCCGTGTGTTGTCATTTTGGCATGATAATACACCATTATGATGTTGACACAGCCTTCTTAAATGGAGCATTGGAAGAAGATGTATACATTTCTACCCCTCAGGGCATCGACATGGACCCAAGTTAAGTTTTAAAGCTCAACAGAATTTTTATGAATTTAAACAGGCTGACACAACGTGGTTAATGACGATTTCAAGTGTATTCAAGAACATGGTTTTGTGTCATGTGTTACAGAACCGTGTGTTTTCGTCCGTCACGATGGACACCTTACGTGGATTTACGTGACACTGTATGTCGACGATGTGCTGATTGGAGGTACTTCTGCTAATTTAATCGACAAATTTGCAGATGAGTTTTTCAGTCATTTTAAGTTAAAGTCGCTCGGAAATGTGAGATTTATTCTTGGCATTGAAGTGGAGTATGCACACCAGACAAAGAAACTCAAGATCAGTCAAGATGCGTGCATTAACAAGATCAGTCAAGCTGCGTGCATTAACAGAATGATCGTCAAATTCAACCAATTTGGGGCGAAAGCGGTCAGCAACCCAAGTGTGGAAGGTCACGTCATGCTCAATTGCGAGGAAAAGGACCCCAATATGGAGAACCGACCCTATCGATCTTTGGCCGGATCTCTCCTATATGTAGCAACAGGTGCAAGGCCCGATATTGCATTTGCAGTGGGTCGCCTGAGTCGACATTTGAAAAAACCAAGTGAAGAACACTGGAACGCAGCCATTCGTGTGCTGCGCTACCTAAAGTCAACTGCAACGCACGGAATTTGCTATCGTAGCAAGCCCGGTGGCCTCAAGCTGAGTGCATTTAGCAACACAGATTGGGGGAGTGACAAGGATAATCGACATTCGACATCAGGAGTTATGGTGATGGTCAATGACTCTCTAGTCATATTCAAGTCGAAGCTTCAAAGCAGTGTATCACTAAGCACTGCTGAAGCTGAATGTGTGGCACTTTCGTTGTGTATTCACGATATAATGTGTACCAAGAGTTTATTGATGAAGATGAAGGTCAAGATTGACGCTCCAGTCATCGTGTATGAAGACAACCAAAGTGGGATTGCTATTGCGAAAATTAAAGGATGTCAAAGTCGAGCGAGGCACATTGATATTCGCTATTATTTTGTTCGCGATCGAGTCAAGGCCAAAATGATTCAGCTGGAGCATATTGAAACTAAGTTTCAGCTCGCCGATTTTCTGACGAAGGCGATTTCGACCAGCAAGTTCCAGTCTCTCGTGGCAAAGACAAGCGTTGGAGACTTCTAGTCGAGGAGAAGTTTTGATGATGTAAACTTTGTGTATCCTCAAATGTCTTGATGACGCTTGATTGCAATCGTTTTTGAAACGGACACAAAAGTGAAACCTCAGCAGTCGGTTACATGACAGGGAAACGACACAGGCGAGACCATCGTAGTGCTTCTACGATAAGTCGCTGGATGCATATGTATGTTTGTGAAAGACTAAAACACTTTCCAATATACTTCCTGGCTACTAGTTGCCCTCCCTCTGCAATATTACCTCAAAACTTGGTTGCACTAACTTAGGACATAAGTGTCCAGATTAGGATTAAGATATTCTATAGTTTTAAATGTAAAAAAATTCAGTTCCCCTTTTGATCTTAAAGGCACGTGCCTCGCGAGGCGTCTTTGGTCGTTGATCACTGATAACGGAGAGTTAGCAACATTTCCTTGAGGTAGCTAGTTACTGTTGAGCACTAAGTGCTGTCGATTTACTGAATCGTCTGGTTTCCTGGAACAAGGACCGTAAGCTTTACGCTTGTTGACTCATTGAGTCTAGCTCTTTTGAACTAAGTTGCTCGTTGAGCGTTAAGTCTCCCTCTGACTTTAGGAGGTGTGTAGCTCCGCTACAGATTTACTCGGTTTTTAGTTGTCTTCGCTCCTTTCTCTTTCGTTGAGAACAAACACTCGAAATAGCCAGTTATTATAGAAAGGCAAGCTCTGAGGCCCGCCCCTTGGAAAAAGTAATTCTTATACACAAACTAAATCGAGTCTGTAAATGGACGTACCTTGCGCTCATTCACTGATAGCTTCACCTTCCGGGCTTGCAATAATCCTTAATGACCAACTATAACGCGGTGCCTCCATTTCATGGTAGTTTACATCGAATAAAAATCAAAAATGTCTATAATGTAAAGACAAACACTGTTTTCCCACAGAATTGGATTTCTCTTTTGTGCTGTAGAAGTAATTTTATAAGAGCACTTTTTAGTATTTCTCGGAATAGAATGAAGATATTGAAGATTTCGAAGCTCTTGACGCTGATATATCTTTTATTGAAAATGCTCGATACAGTTTTAAAGAACAACTCTATCATTTAAAACAAGACAGCATCAACAAATTTAATAGCCAACGCTAATGACCAGTTTAAGTCTTGTTCGTTTGCTTATTCTGATAAACTTTTTAAATTTTGACGCAAATGAATTACATCATCTAGTAAATGAATTAGCAACTACCGTTGATTGGACTTCATACCAAGACATTTTGTAAAATCTTTAAAAAGTACAGTCTTTAAATACTGCTGATCCGATCATTCTTTGTGGAAAGATTATTGCTCAACGGATAAAGAGTACTACGGGAATAAAAGGTTGTTGACTCCTAAGAGCTCCTATCAACGAAGTCGTTTGGCATCTCGATGTCGACTCATCACATCATATAGATGAAGAAGGTATCAAGGGTTTGGTTATTCACCGATACACGTGGTACGTGAGATGGCTATAAAATTGAAAACAATTTTTAAAAGAATTGTTCATTAAAAACGAATAATCGTTTTTCGTTATCAGTTTTTTTTTGCTGACAAAAAAGTTAATTTGTATCTAACGCCAAAACTTATAAAAAGAGTAAATAACCTACGCTATTTTACAAAAGATAAAGCCTCTCTTTCGACTAAATGTTATTTAAATTAATTTGAAAATTACAATTACAAACACGATTGGAAACCACAACAAATTTGGAGTTTCCCTATTAAATTTAGCGCTTCAGAATTTGAATATGTTTTTAAGTGCGGATAATAATTTGACTTGGGCAAAATTAATTCGTTTGTATCGAGATGTTTGAGTGTAAACAATTTTTATGGTTTTTAAACAAAAAGTAAATTGTATTAAGAGAAAATGTCCAGATAAATGAAATATAAAACTATGTCTCAGTTTATTAAAACATTAAAATGCATTCATGTCTTCGTATGCTCTAGCTATAGTGGTACCCAAATACCGACATAATGCCTCGACGAAGAGCGTAAAATAATACAAAATCGTGTAAACGACAAATGCTGATGCGTCTGACTTTCTGACACAGATGAGTCCTTGATTGTGGCCACGCGAATTATCACCGCTACATAGAAGACGTATGCTATGCTCGCGTATCAATGCTACATCATGTCAATCTACATTCGCATCGTGCAAACGGAGCAAACCAGGTGCCATAGAGAAAACTTAGGCTGGATCTAGCGGGTGCGTAGGTCCTTTATGTTTAAAATTGCCTTCTAATTGCTACCAACTTACTTTAAACGTGTACGGGATGTATTTTTAACGAACATCAAATGATGCGGCAGGTGGTGTGGCTTCAGATATCACCGTTAGAAAGTCGCAAATCAAGTTCTCGCGGATACATTCCGACACATTTTTGTTGAAATCCGTACTAGAATCATTTTTTTAATAGAATGACATAAATGTTAAGGCGTTTCCGTACTCCGACCACATCGAATGTCTTGTGTGTGTTTTCATTGCCTGTTGAGCTCTCCACGTCCATGCGTTGTTCTTCAGGTTAAGACTATACATAGCACCGTCTAATCCCTGTAACATCACCAAAATTCCGCCATCAGTACTAGTAGAACCTTTTCAATTTGATAAATAAGAGTCAAGCAGGTAGAATGGATTCGTGATAGTCTAATAATTGTCTAACAAAGCTCCAGTAACTATAGCTAAGAGCAGGAAACGTAATCCTTTCACTCAACTAAAAAAACGACAACAGCGGCACTGTAGAACCAACAACACCACTAGAAATAGAAGTAACACCACGAACACTAACAGCAGTGTACCGATAACAAAAACATCAGCAGCACCGACATCAACTCTATCAGCAGCGGTATCAAGCAACTGTAACACGCAATTACTTACATTAGTGACAACAACCAATACGGTCACAGCGTTAGCATCGAAAACTACACTAGCAACAACGAATCTAGAAATACCGAAACTAGCAAAAACAACATTAGAGATAAACAGCAGCGAATGAAAAAATCAGTGATAATCAAATATAACATTCGAAAAAATAACGATAACAAAAAGATAGCAATGACAATACTGTCAATCGAACGAAATCAGTACCGATTGGCTGCATTTACGGCCGCGGCCGACGATACGCAGACGCATTTACATCTTGCCTGTGCCGTCTGCGCCCGCAACTAGTAGCTGCGAGCGCAGCATGCCTGCGGCAGCACTCCCTACACGACACCGCCTGCAGCGCGAGGGGGGGTCAGCATGGCCATCAAAAGCAAATTGTGGTATAGCAGTTCGTTAGATATGTAGTAATGCAGCCTTAAACGCACAAACACAACAATGCCGAGTTGTTTTGGCAAAATAGGCTAGTACGTTAGGATAATTGCCTTCGCGGTTCGCCCTTTTGACTTCAGTCGTGGCCTTAGGCGAACGGATTCCTTGTAGCCCATTCTTTCAGCAGACTCCTAAGCTCAGAATCTTTTAAAACTCATACTCCTGTGAATCACACCAATAGATGGGTTTCGGTGTTTTCACGCTTTTACAGGTCACCGAGCGCAATGTACGCTCGACTGTAATATTCACGGTGTCCTTGATTAAACACCCACCGACTTGTCTCTCGACGAATCTGAATGCAGTGCCGTCTACTAGGTCGCTGGGTTGCCGCTCTACGAGACTCAAAGGGCACCATCTAATGGGTGTACCGGCTCTTCGTTTACGAGAAATTAGCGGTAGCATCTATTGGGTTGACCGGCTTGTCACTCGACAAGGCCTTAGCAATGCCATCTCATGGATTAAAAAGTCCTGTCACTCGACAATGCTTTAGCGTTACCGTCTATCGAGTTAACGGCTCGTCTTCGATGAAGCTCTTTCATTTTCTAAGGGCGAGTATTGTCCACCCCGGCCTACTTAAACTCTTGGCGCTTCCAGTCAAAACCACTACAAGCCATGCCTCTCGAGGTTCGACGGCAGGCATAATATAGCTCAACGCATGGACTCATCAGAAAAATGTACGCTTTACTAGGACTCAAAAATTCTGCTCTGTATTTAATTTTCTTTTTTTCTGCTAGACAGATCCTATTGGATGGATCCCATTCTTCCTCGTAGTACTCCCAAACATTTAACCGGTGACTTGAATGGTCGATCTTCCAGCTGCTTCGCTGGATTTAAACTCGACGAGTCTCATCTCGTTGGTTCTCATCTCGACGAGCTTTAACTCAACGAGACGTAATTCGACGAGAAATAACTCGAAAAATATTGACTTTCAAAATCAGCTAATAGGGGAGGTTCATAGTCAAAAATTCCTGCACCACAGAAGTGAGAAACGGTATAAGATATGCATTTTTGGATAATTTTTATTAGATGATGGATTCGAGGACGTGAATTATTTTGTGTTTTTTCCAATTATCTGGGGCATTTTTATTATCCAGTTATCAGGGACCTTATTTTATTTTATAATTGTCGGGACTTTTTGTTTTAATGATCTGAACCAGTATTTTATTTATCTTTCGTTGATGATATAAGCAAATACAGATATCTCACATACACATTTTTATTAGAATTGAATATTTTTATAATAGTCTTCATCAAAATATCATTTATAAAAATTTTTTTAAATGAATATTACTTATGCTATTATTTAGATTATCTGAATGTATCTTAATTACGCTAATATCAAAAAACAAAACCTTACGTTCTTATTTAACCATCGTAAAACTATTTTAACTGAACTCACTACATTATTGTAGGCCACACCACACTATCTCTGCTAATTCTAAATTATTTATGCTCTCGAATAACATCCTTCCAACACGCTCTACAAATCTAAATGTTTGGTATCATAAACCTGATATCATGGACTCGAATTGATGCTCCCCGATAGCATCAGTTAGGGGGATACCACTGCTTGAAGTAGCTCTTCCGCTCTCCAGTATGTACTTTCCACATGAGCACTGTCAGTTCCGCACCGTTTGATGCCGTATTATACGATAAAAATGTTGTTGCATGACCTTTATCGGTCAATACCACGACAGTT